TACAAAAGGCCACATAGTGTATGATCCAATTTGTAGGAAATATCTAGAATGTGCAGAAAGAAGACTGGTGGTTGTCTAGGTTGGCAGGAGGAAGTTTGGATGTGACTAAATGGGTATGGTGTTTCTTTTGGGGGAGGTGAAAATGTTCTGGAACTAGATAGTGTGGTGATTGCACAACCTTATGAATGTACTAAATGTCATTAATGGTAAATTTTACATGTGTTTTGTCACAATAAAAAGAAAAACAACTCAGAGGTGTATAAAGCAACCCTATGCCCTGAAAACGCAATGCCGAGAGTTTGGGGTGTGTCTTTGACCTCATTCTTTATGCTCAAATAAACATAGGGAGACACTTATTGGATTTGCCTCTTTTTAAAATTGTAGCTCGAGCTCATACACATTTCTTGGACAACTTGCTGTTTTTCATTTAATGACACATCAGACACCCCTCATGACCGTCCCATGGTCTACACATACAGACTGAGTCATTTTTTAATAGCTGCAAAATGTGCCACATCATTGCCAATGGTGGGCATTCGAAGTGTTTCCAGGCACTTGCTACCAAAAACAGCTGTCATGAACATTTGCAAACATGTCTCTTTGTGTACTGGGGTTTCGTCTCTATAGGATGTATTTACAAAAGCGGGGTAGCTGAGCTGCGTCATAGACATTTTGGATATATACTGTAAACCTGCACAGCTGTAAGAATCTACAAGCTCCCCTCCGCAGTGTTGAGACATTTCCCAGACAAACACACACACTCGAACACACCCATCTCAGCCCAGAGGTTACCAATATTTATCATTTTTCCAGTTGTAAATGGATCGGGCAAATCAACCAAACGGGTAAGGAGTGACACTATACTGATGCATTGATTTGATTTCTTTGACCCCTGTGTCACTGAGCTCCTTATAATACAGCCAGCTTTTGAAACCCTGGAGTGGGGAATGGTCCACAGACCCTTTCAGGATGGGATGAGAGCAGAGTGTTCTCCCCAGAAAATGTGTGGGCACAGACATGCACATTTAGCAGACAATTTCAGGGGTTCAGGCAGAAAGGCCTGTCCGGGAGCCCCCCTGTTGTGGAGCCCCGCTCTAGAGTTTTCCAAGTGGCGCAGACTGCAGCATCTCTGACATTTCCAATGAACACAAACACTGATGTTTTTCTAAATGTTAATGGGTTTCTGTGCCCTCTGCTGGAAGCTTCTGTAGTCAGTGCAGCACTGCAGAGGCAGAGCCCAGTGACTGGAATTTTCCTCTTGCGTAGAGCTTTATTCCCCTCCTGCAGAACTGGCCCTGGAGTTTTAAGTTCAGAACGCACTTTTTGCAAGTTGCTGAGGAAGCCCTCTACTTAATACCAAAATCAGCAAGTTCAAGGGAAATTATTTATCTCCCATTTGGGGAATTATTAGTTCTGGAGGAAGACTCTTATTGTATAAGATTTGCTGAAAATTTATAAGGGTATCTGGAGACTGGGAGTGTATTGATTCCCGGTGAGTAAACATTTTAAGCAAATTAAGTGGTGGCAGTCATAATAATAATAATGGCTGCCATTTTTCAAGTATCTGCTCTGTGCCAGGCATTTAATCCCTCCAATGATGACAGGGGGCAGGTTTTATTACCCAAATATTACAGATAAGGAAACTGAGTCTCTGAGAGGTCCCATTGCTTGGCCCAATGCCACCAGCTGGAGGTGGAGGAAAATTTTAACCCGATGTGCCAGATGACAAGCCCAGGCCCTTCCTACTGCACTGTGGAGTCACGCAACAGGACCGTGGGTCTTGAGAGCATGGTCCTCACTGGTCCCTCCATTTCACCAACACGACCAGGTTGGGGGGTGCAGGTGGTCAGTCCACACGATGGATGAAGAAGCTGAGGCTCTTGAGAGGTGTCCATCTGTCCGATCACACAACTAGTAAGGAATGGAGAAAAAAATAGAATCACGGCCCACAGTATACTGAAAACAAGATAATGTTATTAAATCCTAGCAAAATATTATTGTCTACCGAAGAATGCTCTGTTTCTGAATTTTTTAAAGGGAGATGAGCAACGAACCCAAAAAGGAAACTTGCTCCTTGTGGATATTAAAAGGATCGAGAGTAATTTGGAAAGGGATTCACGTTGTCACCCAATGTTTTCGTGTAACTTACTGTAGTGTCAGGGATCACCTAATGTCCTCTGAGGTGCCAACTGTGATGCCCTCCCCTCCCTACTCACTGGGAAACCCTGGGCTGGGAAAATGCTCGGGCCAAGAAGCATCCAGGTCTTACATGGAAGGAGCAGATGGTGGCAGGAGCCCAGCAGGCAGCTGACAGCATTCCCCCTGGCTCTGAGCATCCTGGCAGCCAAGGCAAAAGGAAACAGGAGGGCTGACAAAGCTGTCATCATCATGTGTTTACAGCGACTGGGTCCATCTCTCCGGTGGGCAGTTTTCAAAGGACTGTTTTCCAGGCTGGCGTAAGGCTCACAGGTGAGCAATGTCCCTGGCCACAAGCGATGAGAAGGGGAGGAAGAATCCGTGTCCCTGCAGCCTCCAGGAAACCAAGGACAGGCAATGGCATGGGGGCACTAAGCTCAAAGGTCAGGTCACCGGGTTTTTTGGTGATGAGAACTCAAGAGGGCCCAGGAGGCACCAAATGTATCTACTATCTTCCCTCTTTCCCAAACATCGATAATCTCACCCATGACTTCAGCAAAATTTTCTAACCAAGCTCTCAGGCAATGACAGCTAGCCCCTACTGAGTGATTTTGACCTCCCTGGTCCTCCCGACAACCTTAGGGACCAGAAACCATGATGACTGTCCATCCTCCTCTGCAGAACACTCTTGGCTCAGAGCAGAGGGGAATTCGCCCAAGTCCACACGGCAGAGCCAGCAAGTTGCCCTCTGAGGTCTGCAAAACCCTGCATCTCCACTTCCACACAGGTGACTCTTCCCCTGTGGGGACTGAAAGGCCAGTGCTATGTGGGGACACTGGACAAGAAAAAAGGGAAATAAAAATGATAAGCCAGCAGACTAACTGGAGCTCTTCCTCAGAGGAAGCCCTCTTCTCTCCACACAGAGGTGAGGCCCAGCCCAGACGCACGCAGGCCATGGCTCTTTCACCATTCCAGACCATCCCCGGGACCTTAGGCCCACCAGGATTTCAGGGTCCTACAAAAGTGTTTGGGATCACCTGGAGCTCTTCCTCAGAGGAAGCCCTCTTCTCTCCACACAGAGGTGAGGCCCAGCCCAGACACACGCAGGCCATGGCTCTTTCACCATTCCAGACCATCCCCGGGACCTTGGGCCCACCAGGATTTCAGGGTCCTACAAAAGTGTTTGAGATCAGGGACCTTAGGCCCACCAGGATTTCAGGGTCCTACAAAAGTGTTTGGGATCACCCCCCCCTCACCCCCCAAAAATTTATTTTCTGTTGGCTCCCAAAGTATGAAGAAAAAAAAAACTTCAAAATAAACGTTTAATGTATTATCTTCAAAATGTAATGTTATATCAACTAATTGCTGTGGTTATGGGCCTATTTTATTTAATATGATATGAAGGCTTGTTTTAATACAATAAATAAGGTGTTAAGACTTTCTCAAACGAAGAGTTCCCCAGGACCTATGAGAGTGTTCAAATGACCCTGCCAGAGACTGAGCAAAATGTCACCACAGAGAGTTTGGAACTTGCCCACTGTCTGACCAAGTCTTTAACTGATGGAGCCATGTGAAGATGGAGTACTTGCCCCCAAACTTTTGGAGAGAAGTGTCAGGCAGTTGGCCCTCCTAATAAAAAAGACAGCTTAGCAAAGCTCCTGGCAAACACATGACTGTGAGTAATGCCACTTGTTAAGTTAAAAGAGTGCCCACGTCACCCCCTCAATATACCTCATTAGCTAAATGAATTGACCCGTTGGATTGGGGTCATTTAATATCTGTCTATTGACTTTGGAGAATGTCTGCCAACAGCGAGATCTCAGTTTTGACACAATTGATGCTGAGCTACTTTTTTCTCTGACTCTTATTTGTCAAACAGATTGCTGAGCTGGGTACAGCCACGTATACCAAGTGTAAAACCACATCATCGACACAGATCTCAAGTGCTATGACAGCAGGAAACGCAGCCAATTAATTTAAAAGCTTACTCCAGTTACCAGGATGTAAGTCAGAGAGAACGGTGGCCAGGGTGCAGGGCCACCTTCTATCCTGTGGCAAACATGACCTCAGTGGTCAGGAGTCCATTGCCAAACATCCCAATGGGGAAGTTGTGTAAGAAAATAGGGCTTTAGAGAGACACAGATGGCCAGCAGGGGAGGGTGGACGAGTCGTATCACCCAGCAAGACCCGTGGCTGTCCCCTCGCCATGGCTTCATAGCCATGGGTTGTTCCCATGAGACTCAGGTTGTTTCTACCACTTTTCTCAGTGAAACGAATCAGTGTTTGACAACGAGACACTGTCCCATGGGTGTGCCTCGGTCTTTCCACTCCCTCTGTACCATACCATGTTCTTCAAAAATTCGAACATTTGAAAATCAGGAGCTATCCTCTCAAAAGGCCAGGTGTCCAGCTCTGGAAAGCTCTGGAAAGATCTAGCAACCTTTGGCTCATGTTCCTGCTGAAGCTGGCCCCGCCCCCTCTTGCCCTTGTGTTTCCCGCACCCTGCTCCCTCACCACCCGGCAGGCCAGGCCACTGCAGGCGCACCGTGCAGCAGCAGGGCTAAGATCCCTGGCTAATGGAGAGAGCCTAGACTTAAGCACAGACACCCACCCCAAGGTGGTCTGCCCGAAGAAAACAAGGAGGAACTACCCGGGTTCCAGCAGGGGAAGCGGAGACCTGGCGAGGGGTCTGCATGGGCCACTGGGGACGGGACAAAAGAAAAACATCTGCCAACTCCAATGCTCTTCTTTGTGAGTGCCTCATTTTCTCTTACACTGGTTCCTGCACTTCGAATGCCAACTTGTCACCCCTTCCTCAAGAGTAAAAAGGAGTCCCCTTTGGAGGACGTATTTGGAGAACCAACCTCTGCCCAGCTTCACTTCTGCCCCCTGGCCCAAGAAGCAGACTGCTCCACGATGGCTCAGGAAAACATCTGGAACATTACTAGCAGCAGGAGCATTTAGTTCTACGAGTTTTACAAACCAAAATTCACAGCCCACACTATACACGACCTCCCGACATCTGCTGGCACTTGTTTTGTGCACTAACAATAGTGCTATTATCATTACTGTTATTACTCCTATTATGCCAGTGCATTAGACGGCCTCCAGAAAGGAGAGAAGGTAATTGGTTCCCATCGCCCAAACAGCATTATTGGATACAGTGTACAAATAGCTTAAAATTAAAGGCTGGCATCAGAGCCTGTCAGGTTTATAATGGATTACTAAATGAACACAAACGCACCCACTGCCATCAACACCCTCCCAAAGTCATTTGCAAACAGGACAGATAATTTCGTATCTGATTCAGATTAATTGCCATGTTTTCTTGCCTTTCTGCTCTCCAAGGGCCACCATGGAATTGAACCCTGGAAAGTTACCCGGGTCAGCTTTGGCGGGCAAACGTTCCCGTTGGGAGCTAACCTGGGTCTTCTTCTTGGACCCAACCCCTGACTTAACTCTCTGTAAAACCTTATTCATGATGAAGTCGTTCAGGTCTTTTGTCCCTGACTTTTCAATACAGCGGAAGAGAAACATCCGCCGCTCACTCTGCCTGCGGTTCATTCGGCGGGCAACGGTGATGGGGGTCTCCCCGCTGGTATCTTTGTTGTGGATGGAGGCCCCATGCTCAAGCAGGAGCCGCATACAGTCCCACCGGCCCATGGCAGCTGCCACATGCAGGGGCGTCCTGCCCAGGGGAGATGTGCTGAAGCAGTCAGCTCCTGTAAAATAAGAACTGGCTGAGGGAGGGCCAGGAAGAGAAGCAGGGGCAGGGGCAGGGCTGTGAGGGGAACGCTTGGGAGAACTGAGAACTACTCCCTGGGGGGCACTGCCTCACTTCCAGTCTGCTCCCCTTTGCAGCAGCCAATGATCTTTCTAGAAGGCCTTCATCGCACCTCTGCATCGGAGAAGCAGGGGCAGGGGCAGGGCTGTGAGGGGAACGCTTGGGAGAACTGAGAACTACTCCCCGGGGGGCACTGCCTCACTTCCAGTCTGCTCCCCTTTGCAGCAGCCAATGATCTTTCTAGAAGGCCTTCATCGCACCTCTGCATCAATCGCATCACTGCCCGTAGGGTAATGTTCTAGGTCTTTACTGCTCGATCTCAGCCTGCTTCCTGCTTGTCCCTCCAGCAATACTTCCCCGCGATCTTCCTCCCCAACCCCACCCCTGCCAGGGCTCCAGTTACACCTGCCTTCTAACTCTATCCCTTAAATATGCCGTGCCACATCGTGCCCCAGGCCCTTTGCCCATGCTGTTCCCTTTGCTAACAACACTCTCGCCCCTTGTTTTTCTGTGCTAACTCTTACCCTTCTTTAGATTTAGTTCCCTTCCTCAAAAACAACTTCCCTTAGCTCCCCTCTCCATTAAACCTGCTGTATAAGCTCAGTAGACATTCTACGTCTTCAGAACATCCTGTACGCAATTGACCATGGAATTAATTATTTGTACTAATGTGCTGACTTCCCCTAGTAAACTGCATGAGGGCGGAAGACACACTTGTTTTGATGGCTGCTGTTTTCATCCCCAGCACGTAGCCCAGTGCCTGCAGAAGACAGGCACTCAGGAAGTGACAGACGACGAGCAGTCTGACTCATGGACAGATCTCACCTCGATTGAATTCCTCCCCACCTCCTGCAGATGGATTGGCTAATGACAGGTGTCCAATATGGACTTGTTGAATTGAATCAAACTCTGGGTAACAAATATCATGACACAGAAAACAAGGCAATTCAATTAAATTCAGCTGACATTTCGGTAGCCAGTTTTTATGAGCTATGGCTGGTTGGTGAAGTAAAGTTTTAAATAAGCTCTCATACCACTGGCATTGACCATGGTGCCTCATCCCAGCAGCTGTCTGCAGAGGACAGAAAACTTTGCAAAGCTGGCTATAATTTTTTAACGGATGCCTTCAAATACATCACAGTTCCATCAGAGTGAAAATGACTTTTTATGAGCTCAAAGGACTGCTGGGCTGCAAAAAGCCCATATTTCATTTTACAACAGGCAAAGTGCAGAAAAGCAGTGGGGGAAGGCAGAGAATACAGTTGGGGTAACATTTACCCATTGCAGAGTTGGGTTTATACACCTGAGGCACGGCCCAGTCATCCTGCCAGAGAAATCTGAGATGTTTTCCACCTCGCTTGGTGGAAGTGAGAAAAATAGCAAAGACAAAGCTGAAAGAGGCTGATATCAAGGCTGCAGGCAGGAAAAAAGGGGGGACCTAATTTGGAGGCGAGTTGATAGGGGAGACCCTCTGGAAAAGCCTCTGCTGATCCCCCAGCCACCAACTAAATACCATGTAACACATTCTTCATTTTTCCAAGGAAGCTGGTGGTCTGAGCTGTCTGCAACTATTGTCTATTGTTCTTGAATGATCTACATCTCAATCAGTGGGCATCTTTTCTCCAAAATATCCCATATCCGGGAAGGATAAAGTGTACTCCTGCAGAATTTCATGCAAATCCCTTTAATTTGGAGACAGTGCTGGCTAAGCCTTCTGTTCCTATCAACTGAGAGAGACACAGACTTGCCCTGAAGTGCAGGTGGGGTGAGCAGAGAGGCTAGGGTAAGGAAATAGTTACAAGGTTCAGAGAAAAGAGACTGGCCAGCCAGCAAAGCCCCAACAGAGTTAGGCCGGCTTGGGGCTAGACCACTGTGGACCATTGCCGGATCCCAGCTTCAGATGGACTGCAGATGAGGCAGACAGTATGGGAACAGTCCCACAGCTAGTCTGGTTGGAAATAACAAACCAGGAAATCCTTTTGGCTTTCCATCTCACTGCCATAGAAAGAATCTTCTGGAGGCCTGGCCAAGGGCAGGGGTGCAGCCTCTGACTGGCATGTCCTAAGACCCATGCTCAGACAGGGAGTGAATGACCTGAAGGACCATGACTGGAGGTTGACAAGACAGAGGTCCAGAAAACCACCACTTGAGGGTCTGGGAAGACAAGACACTCTGCCCTCCCTACTGTTGGACAGGCTAATCTCTCTACCAGAATTACCATGCTGTAGAAGGTACTGCACAGCATCAATGTGTCCTCTGTGTGAGGTCACATACAGCGCCACAAATGCCCTCTGTGATATCCACTGCTTCCACGTCTCACCTTCGAAATGTTCTGAATTTGCAGTTCGATAGAAGGAATCTTCAGTAGTACCAAGACAGGATAGCTGGGCAAGATAAATGGAGTGTGAGTTGTTATCAAAAGTGCAGAAACACTGGGGACAGCTGACCAGGTGTTCTTGCAGGAAGGTGGGCTTGAATACCAAATTAGGGCTCATGGGAGAAAGGAGCGGTGCAGACCCCAACCGAGAAGTTGGGAAACACCCAGGGAAGGATGGGGAAGACATTGTTTAATGCTCTGTACATGTTCAGGAAATACGAACTTATCTGTCAGGCTTGGGAGGCAGGAAGGTCTTCCTGTCAATGTTTTGAAGACAGAAAATAGCTTTGCTGGGTGTCCAGAGGAAGGTGGAGTGGCCATTAAGGAAGACACCCGCCAGCACGGGATGGCCTCTCCAGAGGGGGACATACTTCTGTGGAGACTTGATGAATTCTGGCCTTCCCATCTATTTTTGTGTCCATTGTCTCTGTTAACTTTGGGAACACTGAAAGCTCGCTGATGGACAGTCCCATAATATGATTATCTCACGGTCAATCAAGCCTCTGAGCATGGGAGGAAGAGTGCAAGTTCCCACAGAGAGGAACTCTGTCCCAGATGTCAGATTTGGGTGTGGGGCAGCAGGGAAGGACAGAATGGGAGGCATGCGGGACAAGGGTCATGGCAGCTCTGACTCAAGACCACAGGCAGGAGGGAAACAACTCCATATCCAAGGCCAGATCTAGAAAACCAAGGCATGGACCAACTTGCTGATGGCACAGAGGGAGGCTGGGTGAGCAGGCAAGGATCTGGAAGGAGTTGTGCAAATAGCTAGAATGGGACCTCACCCTTCCTGCCAAGGTCAGAGAAGCTGCTGCATCCTGACTCTGCTGTCCCAGATCCCACCCCTCTTCCAAGCCTGAATCCCAGCCCCACTCCTGCACCCAGCCTTCCTGGGCCCTTGTCCTAGCAAGCAAACTCTGTCTCCTCTTCTCTACCAGCTCATAGCTTTTCCTCTGCATTTCTTCAACAGAAAGAACATACGTTTGGCCCCTAAAGTCAGAGTGATTCGTCTCCCCTGTTGGGTAAACAGCCTGGTTTTTATCTTCCTTTCCCCCACCGCCCACCTCCAAAGCCCCGCAAGAGTCGAACACAGGCCCAGCAATCAGCAGGGCCAGCTGCTTTTCCAAGGACAGAGTGGACGTCGGATTCGTCTCCCCTGTTGGGTAAACAGCCTGGTTTTTATCTTCCTTTCCCCCACCGCCCACCCCCAAAGCCCCGCAAGAGTCGAACACAGGCCCAGCAATCAGCAGGGCCAGCTGCTTTTCCAAGGACAGAGTGGACGTCGCCCCCTGGAAGCAGGCAGGGCCTCGTGCGTGTTTTTGTACCATTCAGCACTGCACGCAAGGCCCAGAGCCCCGGGCTGCACATTTCCAAGTTATGTGGAGCTCTTCACTCAGTGTTAAATTAGATTTTCAACTTTATATATACATGAATAGAAAATCTGCTGCCTTGACTTCTGGCGGGGAGGGGGGGAGTGGGTAATAAATAAATAAAACCCAGCGAAATCATAAATGCAAAGAGTGAATGGAAACACTCGATACAGTATTTGACAATTATGACATGGGTCCTTGTTATTTTCTTTCCCTACTCTCTAACTTTTACTCAAATATTCATATTAAAGACTAATTGATTCCCCCACCCCCTCCTCACAATTTACAGTTGATTCATAAAGTATGACATCCATTTAAAGAAGCATGAAAACACCTTACTGGGGTCCCCTTCCACAGCCGCCAAAACCAGTTCCGTCCATCCATCATAATGCCAGATACATAATGAAATAATTCCACCAGGAACAACATCATGGAACTTCAATGTAGTATCATCCATCAAAACTCCTAGAGGGAATAATTCTTTCTTTAAAAAAAAAAAATGGGATGTTAAAGATAGACTATTACATTGGTTAAGTTAAGAGATTATCTGACCGTGGCTACCACAAAGATAATATTAGAATCTTAAGCACAAATCTCATTTGATGATTCTGCATAAGCCTGTTGTCGTTAATGCTTTTTAGAAAATTAATTTGGCTCAGCTGAAACAGAAGCCGAACAAAAACACAATGTCAACAATTTATAAAATTCTGTAATTATAACTTGTCCTATTGCAAAAACCTACAAGTCAGTAAAGTCATTGTATGAGGCAAACTCTACAAAATGGAACTATTTAAACTTGAAGCAACTATATGTCATAGACACAACATAATGTTATACAAGTTATATATGTTAAACTAAAATACTCACTCAGGTTTATGTTGTCATTAGCTGGCTAAAGAAGTAACAGTGACAAAAAAATTGTTGGGACTTTCAAATTACAGCCTATGACAGGCAAGTTTTCTCAAGCTGGGCACTGTTGACATTTTGGACTGGCTAGCTCTCTGTGGGGGGCTGTCCTGTGCATTGCAGGGTGTTTAGCAACACCCCACCCCCCGCCTCTACCCACCACATGCCAGTAGCACCTTCACCTGGTTATGACAATCAAAAACTTCTCAGACAGCACTCTTAGGGAACAAAACTGCCCCAGCTGAGAGCCTATGGTAAAGCAGGAAGCTAATGTGGACTGTCACCATAATTTGGATTTGGAGTATGAGAGCTTCTTTGCTCATAAATCACCCAGAACAGCATCTAATTCACATGAAAGAATGGGACGGACCTACTCACACTTCATAAATTCAGACTCTCTGGGGAAGACTGTCAGAATTGGTAAAAGGGAACTATATAGTGAGCGTGTTAAGAAAGTGCAGGTGTGTTTAGTTTACCTTTTAAAACACACACACACACACACATTTTCTTACACGGCCATCTACAATCTCACTCAAGAACAACAATGTAATTTGTCTCTTCATAAGCGACGCCACACGTCAAGTCTCCCCTCTGCCCGGCCGGATTATCATATATCCCAAGTGAGTGGAATTCATGAGTGTTCTGGTTTCATGATCAAGTGATTACTTTGTGCCTGTACTGAGAACCTCCATTCCTTACTCCTCATGACAGCCCTCTAAGGAGGGTTTGTTATCTTCATCTGCCGAGGAACAGACGGAGGCTCGCACGGCTGGGAATGAGCAGCGCTGACATCCGAACCAGACCTGCCGCCCTCCAGGGCCACATGCTTCATGGTTACCAGAAACTCAGGATGGTGGATGTAACCAGGGAATAAGTGATTGGCAAATGTGTTCATTAGGGTCCTGTTTGTGGTTCCAACACAGAGAATAATCAGTAATTAGTCTAAGTAAGACAAGTTGACGTCCTAACAACTTAGAAAACATCGAGCAAAGCTGTGTTTCCCTGAAAAATGCAAGAGAGCAATTCGCACATGCTGAGCAGCTCTTATGGAAATCGGAGCACGTCCTCCTCTTACAGACAGGCAGCCACTGCCTTGGGCTTAGACAAATACTAATCATCACCAGCTAAATAAATTATCAGGGTTGACGACAGATGTGTAAGGGTGACCCTTGTCCACGAACGAGCTCACTCCTTCAGATATGTATGTCTCAAGGTTTGCACACACGTGATCTCATTTGATCTCCCCCCACACCCCTGCAACCTTTGAGGCAGGTAGAAGAGGCATCAGCTGATTATTTATAGACAGTAGCCCAAATTTCTTCAAACAATGAGGTAGCACCTTCTCTCTTCCTTGCTTGCTATCCACAGTAAGGACTGCGACAGCAGAGAGGGGTCACGCTTCGAACAGTGCAAAGTGCCTGCTGACTAACAGCACTGTGACATCAGTGTGAGGTCACCCATCTCACTCACTCCCTCTCAGCTTTCTTGAATTTATTGCTCAGCATAGCAATGAACAGAAGGGGTGCCTGACATTTGTAGTTGGGGATACGTAATTTTCAAATTACTTGTTTGAGAACTCTTACTAAGTCCTTCCATAACTCACCTCCTTTTTAAGTACAGACTAGGCTCAAGACACATTTCTTTCCAAATAAAGCTTCAAAAATTCCCGAGAGCATCTTTTAAATACTCCCATAGGAAAATACATGTCATGAAAAATGCTTCACCTATTTTAAAGAGAGCAAAAGAAGGTATTTTGGCCCTCACTATACATTCAATTTCCTGAGTCATTTCTGTCTACACGGGGAACGACTCTGAGAATTCTGGAGCCGATAGGGCTCTGCTTTCAGGTTAGGAAACTGAGCCCGGGAAGGGCAGTGTCTGGAAACACGGTGCTCATGGAGACAGGCTGCTTTCAGATCTCTGTCTGCCTCCATCGTTTCCCGGCCCCTGCAGTACAACTGCAGTCTCTCTGCAATATCGGCTGTTCTCACATTCTCTGTGCAGCAGCCCAGAGATTTTTTTTATATCTCCATTTTTTTGAAGTGTTTTGTGTTTATTTCAACCGGGTGGGGAGATGATGGAGCCCAGGGGCTTTGATCCTGTTCTCATATCCTAAACATTGTAGGGAATCGGGACAGGGAAAGCCATGTCCTCAGGTTGAGGGAAGGAAGCTGATGGAGACCAAGACGGGCTCTAGGGTTCTTGGCCTCCACTGGGCACCTGTCACATGGGATTTATCTGGATAGGGGCCCTTGGGGTCCTGATTTAGCCACGGGAAGCTTTGGGTACTGGGTTCTGATACTGGTTGGGGCTAACTTTAAGCTCCCGATGTGGACAAGGACATAGCTTGGAATTCAGGGTTCTGATACAGACTGGGTTAGTGCCGGTATTGGGGGTTCAAACGTGGATAGGGCTTGCTTTTGAGATTTGGGGTCCTGATGAGAACAGAATTTGCTCTGGATTGGGGGTTCTGATGAAAGCAAGGCTTGCTATCTGTTTGGGGGTCCTGGTACTGGGAAGGGTCTGTTCTGGATTTGAAGTCCTTGTATGAGTAGGACTTGTTTTGGGATTTGGGGTTCTGACATAGCCCTCAGTAGTGTGGCAATTGCTGGTTAGGAATCGGGCAGGTCTGCCCTGAGATTAGGAGGTCTCAGGCGATGGTGGTAGGCTCTGTTCTGAGTGTCAGGGCTCTTACATAAGCAGGGTTTGGTCTAGAATTTGGGATTCTGGTGTGGATAAGGTTGGCTGGAAGATTTGGGTTTCAAATACAAGCAAAGTTTGCCTTGAGTTTCGGGGGTACTCACGTAGGCAGGGCTTATTTTGAAACTTGACTTTCCTACGTGGACATGGTTGGCTTCTTTCCTGGGGTGCTGATTGTAGACTTGGTTTGCACGGAGACTGGGGGTTCAGATATGGGTAGGTTTGACTTGAGATTTGGGGTTCTGTTGTGGGCAGGGTTTGTCTCACTCTCTGGAGCCCTTACAAGGATGTGTTGCTCAGATGGGGCTTTGGTATAGTCATGGTGAGCTTGGGAAATGGCTTTCTGAGGTGGGCAGAGTTAGCTTTGAATTTTGAAGTTCAGATGTGGGCAGAGTTCATTTCGGGCTCTGGCATCCTTATCTAGACAGAAGTGGCTGGTTGATTGGCGCTCAGATGCACAAATGGTTAGCTGGAGATGAGGGGCTCAAAATTCAGTACATCTGCTCTGGAATTTAGGGTCATGATGTAGGTAGAGTCTGCTCTGAGATTTAGGGTTCTGTTATGGCCAGGGGTAGCTAGGGAATTTGAGGTTCAAACATAGCCAGAGTTTGCCTAGAGATATGGGGTCCTAAAGTGGGCAGGATTGTTTCAGGCTTTGGCATCCTTATATGGACATGGTTGTGGAGGATTCAGGTCCTCATGATCACATGGTTAGCCTGGGGATTTAGGGTTCAGATTTGGTTTTGGGGTTCAGGAATGGGCAGGGTTTGAGCTTTGGTGTCCTTGCATGGACACAGTTGATGGAGGATTCGGGGTTCTCATGTAGTCATGGTTAGCCTGGAGATTTGGGGTTCAGTCTCGGGCAGGTATGTTATGGGTTTTGGGGTCCTGAGGTGGGAAGCGCTTGTTCAGACCTTTGACATCCTTGCAAAATCAAGGTTGCTGGAGTATTTGGGGTTCTGAGGAAGTCACAGTTAGCCTGAAGATTTGGGATTCAGTCTTGGGCAGTTTTGTTCTGTGTTTGGGGGTCTTGAGGTGAGCAGGGTTTGTTGTAAGCTTTTGGTAGAGGATTCCAGGTTCCGAAGTAGTACTGGTTATCATGGAGATTTGGAATTTGGTCTTGGCAGATTTGTCCTGGGTTTGGAGGTCCTTCCTTTAGTCAGTAGGATTTCTTTTAGGCTCTGGCATCCTGTGTGGACATTGTTGACTAGAGGATTTGGGGTTCTAATGTTCACAAGCCCAGCATCAGGACTTGGGGTTTGAGTTTGGGGTCCTAAAGTGGGCAGGAGGTCGTGAGCACAGCTTTGTTTCAAGCTTGCATTCTTATATGGACACAGTTGGCTTTGGGATTTGAGTCTCTTATGAAGACATGGGGAGTTTGAGGGTCTGGGCTTATGGGGGGGGTCCTGCTGTGGCTTTGAGATTTGGGGTTTTGTTATGGATGGAATTTGCTCGGGGTTGGCAAACGCAGCCTGATCCAGGCAGGATTTGTTTGTGGATTAGGGTCCTGTTGTGGTCTAATGCACTCCTGGTGTGTGTGTGTCTGGGAAGTCCCTACTTGTTTCTTCCATCTGGGGATTCAAGGTGTTGGGATTTGCTTTGACATCTGGGGGTCCTCATGTAGGCAGGTTTCCCTTTGAGACTTCGGGTTCAGAACTGGACTGGGTGCCCCAGGGGTCAAGGCAGCACTCGTGAGGACGGATGGGGTTGGGAGCCACCTTGGTCCAGGTACTGAAGCCGCTGGAGGTTGAAGGGTATGCCGACCAACAGGTCCAGCTCCGCTTTGAGCTCCCGCACGGTCATGTCGCTGCGGCAGTTTGTCACCAGGAACATTTCTCCGGTCTCCTCCAGTCGCACTCGCATACAGAAGACGTCAGGGACCAAGTCGGGCGACGCGCTCCCGGCCCGTGGGTCACCGACATGGTGCTGGCTCCGGCCGCGGGCCCGGGCCGGGGGCTGCGCGAGGAGGGGCCGCGGGACCGCCGAGCTCGCCCTAGGCACACCGTGGCCCGGC